CATCAGGTGTTGCAATTACTGTCATGCTGTCTGTAGTTGTAAATCCATTGACACATCTCTAGAAGAAATGGCTTTTGTTTCACATTTAAAGCACTACATCCGAAATGAATTTTAGGTGATATTAAAATGTCAAAATGGAAAAATATACCCTAGACATGGTCCCATATTTTTTGTTCTCCGAAGTCCGCCCATTAGTTTTATAAACCGCAACAGTTTAATGTGTTACACATTTTGTCATATAGAACTGTACGAAACAAAAATTAACTTAGACATGTCAAAGCGAGAAGCCTTTAATGTTACAATCAATGTCATTACAAAATCAAGAACGGTTAATTGAGAAGTCCGTTCACAACAACATTCTTTTTTTTACGTTTTTCTAACTCCAATAGTTATACAATCTGTCCATTAAATGTGGATAATAAGTACATTTTGTGGTTAATTTACATATAGAAAAAAAAAAGAGAATACTTGACGTGGTGAGCACATTCCAATGAGCATGCTCAGTACTTATTTTAACTGCTTAGTAATATGCAGTTAAGTGTTGTATTATTCGAATCTGGTCGGCATACCTGATGGTTTAGATCTGTTTAGCCTCCTGATTTCCCCTTCGTCGTCGAGTAGTTTTTGTGCCAAGTCGTTCGGATGGGCCTGGAGTCTGATTTTGTACTTTTTGCTGTTTTTTTTTATTTCCTCTCGTACTGTTGGTACATCTAGGTCCTTGTGTAGTACCGTGTTCGGCACATACCACGGTGCGTTAACTATTATTCGTAATACTTTGCTTTGAAATCGTTGGAGAATTTCTATGTTTGAGTTACTGGCTGATCCCCACAGTGGTATCCCGTACGTCCATATCGGTTTGAGCATGGTTTTGTACAGTAAGATCTTGTTTTCTGTCGATAGCTCCGACTCTCTTCCCAGCATCCAATACATCTGTCGGAATTTTATTCCGAGTTGTTTTCTTTTAGTGTGAATGTATTTTTGCCATGTCAATCGTTTATCCAGGTGTATACCAAGGCATTTGGCGTCTTCTGCTTGTGGTATCTGAGAATGATTTAACGTTACTGGAGGACAGATAGCGCGTTTCGTTATTTACGTTTAGAGTTTGTCTCCATTTACATTTCATAATCAGGCAGAGACAGTTACGGGAATTTCACTTCTTATCGTATCAAGTTTCTGAATCCGTTATGAAAATAATTCAATATTTCTTCGTTATAAAGGAATTCCATGACAACCGCGTTACCAGTGCCACCTTTACGTAAATCCTTGCTCTGCTCGTAACTAGGAGGCGAGCTGCAGGGTATAATTTTAGAGCATCCTGTAACGATATCAGAACTGCTGTTTGTGAAGTTTGATACTACAGCTGAACTTCCATTGGTATACCGGATCCAACTGACGTTCCTAGCAAACACTGCATCAATGAATGTTATTATGAGCACGCAGCTTGTGTCTTGTGAAGAAAGCAGTGGGACTGCAAAGCAGAACGCGATCTTGCACTCTAACCAACAAACCGCACGTCACATTTTCTAATGACTTATAAAAATTCCGAGGAGAATATTCTGCCTAAGTGAGAGGGAGGTACAGGAGGCTGGAGGGCAATTCATGGTGCAAATTCGTACTTTGTATATTTCACAAAATATTATTAGGATAAACAATTCAAGGAGGACAAGATGGTGAGGCCATGTAGCAAGCATAATTTCTACTTCAGTTTCGTTGGAAAGACTTCGTTGATGTGATAAGAATTTAAAGATTTACTCCCGAATAATTACAGAAATGTAAGCTGGTCATTAAGCTCAGATTTCATTTGTCGGAAATTTTATTAAAATTAAAATATATTGTATAATATATGTACATACATGCTGTACATATGCATACTCGTAGATTCTGAGGGGTTCCAATGATGATGTATAACTCTCGGAATTACTGGGTGCGTACCTCCTTCTCATGATGAAAGAAATATGTCCAGTTTCCGAAACGTTGTGATCTTTAGTGTCCTTTTAGAATAGTAGAAGGTGGACAAAATCCAAAATCTTAACACTTCCGACATGCAAACTCACTAAAATGTTCTGAAACTGGATTTGGGGTAAGGGTGAAGATTTATTCAACTTAAGATATGAAGAATTTTTTCTCGATTATGAAATTTTTGTCAAAAACATTTATTGTTAACAACATCATATGAATAATACAAAATTTTCAAATGTATAAAAATATTGCACATTTAATGACTGCCAGTACACTCTAGAACACATAAGTGATGATATAACGCATTTTAACAAAGTAAAAAATATAACTGATACTTTGGGTGAGATTAAGCTTAATGTATAATATATTTGTATTTGTAGATAAATTATTTCCTTTGAGATCTACTCAATATTGCACATATCCCAGCAGAATTATCTGCAAAAATAAAAAAAAATGAAAACGATTTATGAGACTGAAATGCTGATTTATTCTCTTAAATAAATTTTCTTAAATTTTTCTTAATGACATGGATGATTTGATTACGTAATCAACAGGAAAAATCATTTATTATAATTAAATTCTGTAATGAAGATTTAAGAAATAACTGCCTAATACATTAGCGTTAAATGGTAAAACAAAATTCAGTTAATGGGAAGAAAGAATATTGTGGCGTGTGCTAAGCAGCGACTCTGTAAACAGCGACCGTTGCTAGGTAACATACACTCATGCAATAAAAAAGAACGAGGTTTTTTAAACAACAGATCTGTAAACACGCCTTGCTGGAAACGGTGTTTTTATTCAGTCCATGCAAAGTGAATACAAAGAATTAGTTAGTTAGCGATCCAATTCGAGTGTAAATTTCAGCAAGAAGATACATTAAGACTGCACATGGAAATAACTGAAGCCAAGAACTTATGAACATTTATGAGAAACTATTTCCTATTCAAAAGTGAGCGTTTAAGCTCCAAAATTAAACTAGCCCTCTGTAAGGCACTGACCAGATTGGCTTGCCCCGCCTGGGAATTAGTGGCAGACAACTACCTCTTAAAATTTTAGCTCTTACTAAACAAGGTTCTCCGTACCATTCGAAATTTTCCAATGTGCACACTGGTCTGCGATTTGCACACGGCTTTCAAACTTCCGTATATATACCATTAGATGGCAAAATTGTGCAGGCAACAAGCAGAAGTCACATAAAATTATGAAAATGAACATGTTCGTGGAATAGGACAAGGCGAAGCCAGATATAGAAAATATAAGAGGCTTAAACTTGGCGGTGGTGTTCAAGCTTACGACCGTTCAAGTGACTAACCTGACGTTGTAGTATAAGATACGTAAGATGGGTATGATCTGCCTTCCGAAGCCTGTACTAAGAGAGGGAAATGGAAAAGGAAGAATTTTCAATAACATGCTGTGTGTATTATACGTACATTTTACGAAAGGCCAAGCACATTCGTAAGAGACAAACCACTTTTCTCGTCAGAGAGGGTGTTACATACGGACTATTACTGCAAGAGTTAATTTGAAAATGATCTCTGGTCGTGAGTCTCAAGGTGATTGATGCCACGACGAACTGACTGGTGGTAATTTTGACTTTGACTTTTACTTCGACGACGCAGTTCAGTTGAGTGAAGTAGCTGAGGGAAGCTAGTAAACCGGAAGTCAGTTGACAGTCGTGAAGTGAAGACTAGGAGGTTTGTGTGAGATGAAAGTCAGCCTGGGAGTTCTTAGAAGCTGATAGCTGAGGCACGGGGAAGATTCGGGAACGCAGAGTATGGGGAACGACCGCCGTTGAAAGCCATTACCAGGCAACGGTTATTGAATAAGGACACTAGTCTGTGTGAAACAGTGAACTGTAAAGTGTAGTCAAGCGATGTATCAAGGAGTCCAGTAATTCTGAACATCAATCCAAAACCAATCTACAGTCGCGCTCATACACGTGACAGTGTTTCAGGTAATGCGTGGCTCTGCCTGTGTTCATTAGAAGATCAATCAAACTGTCGTGGCGGTTTTAATCCCAACTAGCTAGAATCTCGCACATCACATAAATGCTGTAAAATAACCGGAAAGTCACTCCGGGATTTCAGGAGGCCATATTTTCTTGCCTTTTTTATGCTGCGAAAGGAACACACGTGAAAATTTAACGAGAAAAACTATTTGAATTAAAATTGATATCAATTAATTGTTTCCCTGATATATACAATGGACAAGAAAATGTAACCTACTAAAGTCCTTAAACGACTTTCTGGACGCCCTATATTTCTGAGCGTTTTTCGTCACCGCCTGTCTCCCTGTGACGATCCCTCTTCCGATCTGAGTGTATCTGCCACGGATAAACGCCCATGAAGATCAGATCCTTAGTGTCTGAAAATCCTGGTATGTTATTCACATGAGTGAACTCAGAAAATCTAGGAAAAATTTCTCTGAAGGTAAATGAAACGCATATCTCGGCTTTATTAACCAACAGTTAACATTTTGAGAGAATGTTGTGGAAGAATCCTAACTAATTAATTTTATATAATCACCATTATCATATATTTTCTTTGTAACTGAATAACATGACTAAATTTTCACGTATGAGATGTAGCTGTACATAGCCTGCTACCCACTTTCACTCTCTATATAAATCTGTATCTACTTAGTATATACACGAACTTACATATTAAGGATGTAAATTTGTGTCCATAAATTGATATGACATGATATCCAGAAAGCTATTCTGTATTAATGTGGATTCAGGACGTTTACGTAATTTTGAGTTTGTACAGGGCATGTAGCACGAATCTGGGAAACGAGTAATGCATATAGGGATATTGGTGGGAAAAACAGAAGGAAAGTGACCACTGGGAAGCCCAAGGGGTAGGTGGGTGGATAATATTAAAAGGGGTTTTAGAGAGATAGGATGGGGCGGTATGGATGAAATAGATCTGGCTCAGGATAGGGACCAGTGGAGGGCTCTTGTGAACACGGTAATAAAACTTCGGGTTCCATAAAATGCTGGGAAATTCTTGAGTAGCTGCAGAATTGGCAACTCCTACAGAAGGGCTCAGCTTCATGAGTAAGTAAGTAAGTAAGTAAGTAAGTATGTAGGTAATAAGATTATTAGCAAGTAATGAATATTCGAGCCCCATTCAGTGCAGTTAATACATGAGGAAATTCCGAAAGAAGTAAATGATTATTTATGAGCCTTTTAATATGTATATATAATGAATGAGACTCGATTACAGTGTGCAGACAATTTAAAGTTTTAGTAACAAGTACTACTTTCCATCTGTATTCAAGTACGACGTTTTATATTAAAAGTAAAGGAAACGCGAGCACCTCAAATCCTGCGAAATCTGAATGGTTTCAGCTAAATGTTAATAATTGAGTCCTCAGTTCTTATATATGTAAGAAGATGGAAACAGTTCTACGTACATATCAACGTCTCCAGTACCTATTCAGAATTACTTCACTAATAAAGTCGATTATCGAAATACCTCATATATAGTGATGTATTATTCAATAGAAAATTAGTAATGGAATATTTTAATATAGGTCTTCAACCCCTTGTAATTTTGAAAAAGGCGGATGTTAAGTATATAACAATCAAATGGCCCAGGCTGACAAAATTATTACGAAATTAATTATAAATTTAATTGTAATTATCTCATTTTCGCGTTATATTCTTAGTGCAGGCACTGGAACACTTTAGAGTGAGAGCATATCCAGTTACATAAATTCCTTGCACAGTCAGATAAGATATCAACTTGGTTCGAAAATGGTCTCCTATTTCTGCAACACATGCATCCTCGCAATCTTGAAATTAATTCGTTTTTAAAAGTTGTTCCGTTTTAAATTTTATTTTCCAGTAAACCATTTTTATTGAGCCTCAGATATTAAACTCTTCTGTAAATTCTTCTCCTACTTTACAGCTATTAGTGTGGTCTTTGTGTCCAAGGCATAAAATGTCTTCGCTCGCTCGGAAGCTGGAATCTTGGATTCGAATTCCATTCAAGGCATGGATGTTTGGTTTTTGTATACGTTATGCTGTGTTTCTGTTTTCCTGTGTTTAGGTACCGGCCCTGCAACGAGCTGATCTCTCGTCCAAGGAGTCCTACCGTCTGTGAAAAATGATTACGGAACTAAATAAGAGGCCTGAACCCTGAATAGGCTGAAAGAGCCATCGAAAAACGCGTTTGTTTTACGGGCTGTATTTACAAATGACAATGAGGTGTTATTCGTACTGTAAAATTGAAGGTTCCTTAATGACAAAGAGAACGTACTGCAGAATGTTGGGTACTGACATAGATCCCATCTTATTTATACCAGCCTGCAGTAATTTCTTTCTAGTTCAGTTCATCCCGGATATCCTGAATATGACGCTAAGTCACACGAAATAAAAATTCGGGCTTGAGGATAATCATTTTTATAAGGTATTTGCCAAGTGGCTATGAAGAAACTGACAGATGAATTACTAAGGAGAAAAAATACTGTGAAGTATTTTCATTGGTGCTGGGCTACCGGGTGTTTTGCAGCCGCGTTGTAGGAGACTTGTGCGTGGTAGCCACTGAGATCTGCCCAGTATTGCACATTCTGTAATCTGCCGTCAGGTAGCAGCACATGATAGTGACCTTTCGTGTGATGTCCATCACGAGCTTCCGCGTGACCGAAATATGTACCGTGTTTCGGGTCCCGAACCTGATATCCAAACTGGTACTTCGCAGCATACTGAAACAAATGACAATCGTATCATAGGATGAAGAATGTATAGTAACTTATTATATTCTTAATAGTAATTTAAGCAACACAAATAAGTATTAGACGAAAATATCAGATGCACTAATCACAGTCTCATTTTAAATATAGGAAATATAGCTGACTCCCAGCAATAGTGAATTGCTTTCTGTGGTAAAGCATGACGTAATAGGAGCATACTTTATAATTCGTGCTGAAATATGGATAGATAATGGAGGCATCATAAAAATGAACAACATATCTTAATGAATTAGAAAATTAATGTTGGAAAAATATACCTACTAGCATATGGTGAGAAATTTGGCAAGAATATGACTGAAGATTAAAAATCTGCCAGGGTCAAATCACAACCGAATCTAGGTTTAGTCAAGTTCGCTTAATACTGTGGCATATTTGCTCAAAGCAAGAACTGTGGAGCCACAGAAACAGCCGTTGCTAGTGAACGGCTCTGAAACATTTGTTTCTAGGCAACAACCGCGAAGCAGACAACGGAATGACGCTGGTTGTTAGCAGATTCTTAATAAGCGAGAATAAACGGCCTCTGCTAGGGTACGGCTAGGTAAATAAGTCCTGCGGAAACAGTTGGCATACGAGAATGAACAGGGTTTTCTTTGTGATCCGTGTTGATATGTTATAAGCAAGGGGAAAAGTTAATTGAGAGTTCAGTTGAGTTCTACACGGAAGGCTATAAAGAAAAGACTTGAGCAAGCGAAACTGAAGAATCTCCACTGTAAAAAGATGTTGCTAGTGAACGGTTGTTGAAGACAGGATGTTGGAAGAAAGCTTAGCTTGTGCTGTGGTGATTTGTAAAATGTGGAGATTGACGATAACGCTGTAATTACTTATAATTCCGAGTGGTGTGCATGTCAATAAGTCCAATTGACCAATCCAAAGCCTCAACATAGTCACACACTCATACAAGTTACAATATATATAAAGTCTTCTTGTTCTTCAGATATCTATTTTGTTCGTTTTCGGTCTCTCTCTGTTCAACAGAACAGATTTCGTTCTTTTTATAACTTTCTAAGCAGTTAATATCTGTAGGCTTGTTGCTCGTCAGACATAGATTTTGTTCTTTTTTAAACTTTTGGGGCAACCTGTGTCTTTCTATGATTATTGTTAACTCGTTCTCTACACGCTGTCAATTTGCCAAAGGAGGAGAATTTCTTAAGATGTCTGGTTTGATTGTGCCTTACAGAGACCAAATCGGATTGAATATGGCAAGCCATTATGTAGCTTCATTGTGGGGAAGTCTGTGCTGCTTCATACGTCACTAAAGCGCCGAGACCTCCTGCTATTCTGATAAGTAGAAAGCTTCGCTTTGAAGCGGGCTGGATGCATATTTCCTGCTTCAAATGATTGTATATAACGTTAAAGTAAGCTACAAGAGGGAAATATGCACCGAAATTAAGCCATATTTACTTCAGGAAGATTTCATATATATAAAGAAGAATTCAGTTCTAAATATTCTGCCTGGCTCTTTCAAGAGAAGATTTCAGGAGTGCTCTCTGAATTTTGAGGTTATAATAAGTAAGAGTTTAATACTTCATTATTCCTTTACGTCTTTATTCTATTATAACTTAAGTATCACATAAAGGAAGAAATCGTAACAAATCTACATACGTAAGTGTTGCAGCTAATTAATGTTTAGTATAATATTTTAGTAAGGTTTGGACCGTATATGACAATCACTTCATTACATGAAACTGTCAACTACTGTTATAACTGAAGAAAAAAAGTATCCGTTGTTTTAGTCCGCAAGCGAACTATACCGACTGAGAGACCGCCGCTTGTCGGCGAAGTTAGTGTAAACTTTTGCGGATAGAGGGTGTCGCGTGGTCGCGCAACGAATCCCCACAGACATTAATTTCGGCTTTCTAGACCGGAGCCGCTGTTTCCTTGAAATAGCTCCTCAATTATCCTCACGAGGCTGAGTGGACCACGTTCCAGACCCACTACTTCTCAGAAAATCTGGTAGCGCCGGCAATCGAACCCGGACCTCTGGATCTGTAGCCAGGAACTCTGACCTCTAGACCACAGAATTCATTAATTTATCCTAAGAATAATCTAATCTTATTTCTCTTTACTTATTTTCGAAACACATGACCGACATTAATTATCTTTGAAAAGTTATAGCTTTCAGGTTAGTGAGTACGAGAGAATTCTATACGTAAGCGATGTGATACGAAGACTTATAAGAGATGTTGACTGAAGCTCTACGCTTTCCAGAAGTGGCTAGGGCATACTAGAAAAGAAATGAGTGATTACGTCATGTTCCGTAGATGTTATCATCAGGGGAGCAGCAGGAGTACCCACTGAGTAAGAGGCAGAGTGTGTCGTAGAGCACATTTCGGCGCCACGGCGAAGTGAAAATTCTTGTACCCCTCCCGGGTTTGAATCTCGATCATCTGGACTATAGATAGTCACTATACTGACTGATCTATCCAGGATAATGATTATTTTAGGACCATTGTAAAATCGAATTACACTTATGGAAGATGGTACTTATTTTACCAGCAATAGAAATATCTACATAAACATTCTGAAAACGTGATAATCACTTCTTGCTTTACATTTTATGTTCTATAGACAATCTAGGACGCAACGTCAACCGAGTCTTCTAGCAGTGAAAGGACATAAAAGTGTACCAAACAGTGGGTCCCTTGTCACAATGCCATGACGCGTCATTGGGTTGCGGATGAAGGAGACCGCCTCCAAATATGGCGAATAGTTGCGAATATATTAAATAAGCAGTCGCAGACAGCCTGCAAAAAGGGGTCTTTCAGGTTGGGGTTTGGAATTTGGACTAACAACTCACGACAAAAAGTCTGTCAAGAAATATTACAGAAGGCCTCGGATTTGGACGTATATTTTGATACGACCTAAGCAAAGAAAAATGGACATGTACGATGACTTTGCAGATTTTGTCTGTAGTTTCGTATGGGTGTGAAACTTGGTATTTCATATTAATGGAAGAATATAGATTGAGGGCGTTTGAGAACAGGTTGCTGAGGAGAATATTTTGTCACAAGAAGGATGAAATATTAGAAGGTTGGAGGAAAACTGCATAATGAACAGCCTCATAATGTTTATTCTTCGCCAGATTTATAATATTGTCACGTGTTGGGTGTATGTCACGCGACAAATGACGTCACGCCGTCTAGGATATAGCGAAATTATTCAACATTCGCTCGTACACAATTCCACAGTTCACAATTACACTACTACTGCCATTTGCAATATCACACTTACTTCTACTGCTGGAGTCACTGCCATGCACTCGATACAATTCAATAACAATGGACTTCACCTCATACTGGATACTAGTAACTCGCTCAGCACTCACTACTCAATCCTTATGTAGCTTCCGCACTGACAACCCAGAAAACAGTTACGTAATGATAAGTTCTGTCTTCTGGGGAATGCAGTCCGGTGAAAGTCAACCGGCCGGTCACGGTAGCCGAGCGGTCTAAGGCATGTACTGTCTTCGCTCGCTTGGAAACCGGGATTGTGGGTTCGAATCCCGTTCAGGGCATGAATGTTTAGTTCGTGTGTGTTCGTTTTTCTGTGTTTGTATACAGGTAGAGGCCTTGCGACGAGCTGATCACCCGCCCAAGGAGTCCTACCGAATGTGTAAGATTTAGAAAAACCGAAGTGAACGGAGAAGTTCATGGAGGTAGGCCTAGGCCCACTGGGGCTATAGTACCAGGAAAAAAAAAGTCAACGATGTTTCAAAGAAATATATCACCTCAACCTCCAGGGTAGAAGAGTAAACAAATCGTACATCATGCAAACTCTGATTTTTGCCTGCTTCTTGCCGGTTTCATATTTGGTTTTCTCTTAAGTCCTGAAGATACAGATAATAAGTTCTTCCGAAACGCCGCTTGAATCTGACCGGACTACAAGGCCTTATATCCAGAAAGGTAGAATTATTCAGCTTTAATGTCAAGTTTCGAGTTTAACACGTAAGGCTGTTCGCTTTTGGTTTAGTTAAGAGAGAACAAGAGACAGGTAGAGAGGGACAGAAAACCCTCACAATGTGGTTTCGGATGGGTTCCTGACTGACGGATGGTAGGCATTTAAAGCAACTCTGAGGTACGGTTGAATGTAATGAAGCATTATGTGGAGAGGATTCCATTCTCGCTTGTATACATACATAGGTAAATGCACATATGAGGCGATAAATTGGATGTGCTGTTTTGCCCGGTGAGGTGAATGCTATGAGCGAAGTGGCTAGACGCACGAAGACATGTTTTAAACGCTTAAAAGCTCCTGCTTTTCTTTCACAAGGTAAACAGCAGGAGAATAAATGTTTTTGCAGGAAAGCAGCGTGTTTTAAAGTAGAAAGGATTTCATTAACAAATAACGTTTCAGAGTAAAATATGGGAGGTGTTCTGTTTGAATCTCGACAGGCCCACCAGTCATTCTGAAATAGGCTTTACGTGGTTTTCCTCAGCCGCTCTAGGAAAGTGTTGGAGTAGTACCTCGATTATACTACGATCGATTCCTACAAAACCCTTTCAATTCCATCATTCATTGCTCGTGCCACCACCGAACACAAGTTTTGACATAGGGAAGGAAACGTCTATTCACCCTTTAAGCATTCAGACCTGCACGGGAACCGTTGTGCTCCCCCGTGATGCTTGGACTCTTGAAGGCCCTCTGACCGTCCAGACTGCGATCATCTTAATTCGCTTGTTCTGCAGATGCAGAGCCAGGTCATGGATTCGTGCTCAACCAAGTTGCGAACTGACATAATGCTATCGTCTCTTGGACTTCTGGCAACTTGGCGGTGGTCAAGCTTACGACCGTTCAAGTAACTGTGCTGCCGTTGTAGCATAAGATACATGAAATGGGTATGATCTGCTCTCCGAAACCTGGACTTACAGAGGACTGTGTGTAGCGCAAAAAGAAGAATTTTTCAATAACATGCTGTGTGTGTGATACGTATATTTGACAAAGGAGAAAGGAAGCTTAATCATAAGACACAAATCCAAACTCTCGTTAGAGAAGTTACATAAGGGCTATGACCGCAAGGGCCCATTTGCAAGAAAATCTTTGCTTGTGAGCCTCAAGTGGTTTGACACCAAGACGAACTGATTGGCGGTAAACCGCCAGCAGTAAGTAAAGTAAAGTAACGTAAACTAAAGCTATCCCTGTAACAGGCTGTGAAGGCCCATAGGGTTGTGAGACGTTGAAATTTAATTAATTTCTGGTAATCATTTCTGTTAGAGGCTGAGTCGACCCCAGGGCCGTAGTGCGGCTGGAAGGATTAAGTCAATTGAAAAAAATCCAATGACCTCATCGGGACTTGAACCCGCGACCTACCGACTTGTAACATAGCGCCTCAACCAACTACGCTACCGCGTAAACCGCCGACAGTAAAGTAATTCTAACTCTGACTCAAACATTACAGAACGCGAAAAAGAAAAAGCAGAAATCACATGAGATATTCTGCAACAGACACTAATTGTATGGGGCAGAGTCCTTCAGAAGCTGATATTCATTCAGCCGGTCACAGTGTTTCGAAAACTTTTATGGTACCTTAAGTATCATTATTGAGTTCTTTGCGCTCCGCCATCCAACCCTATCACGAACAAATTAATTCAAATCACAGCCGTAAGCCGTCTTTCCCAACCCTGCGTTTGAATTTTGTCGTTCAGTTAACCCTTATTTAGTGTCCGCGCCATAACTCAAGCGGTTAGTCGCTGGTTTCCCACCGCGGCGACCCGGGTTCGATCCCGGGTCTGGTCAAGTGGGATTTGTGGTGGAAAAGGTGGCCCTGGGGCCGGTTTTCTCCGACTACTTCTGTTTCCTCTGCCAATCTTCATTCCACCAAATTCTCCATCATGATAATCATCTGGGGCAAGCTACAATATGCCAATCAGTGGCCGCCGTGCCCAGTGGATCCAGTTGGACTCCACCCCCCACTAAGCGAATTAGAAAAACGCCTTATTTATTCGAAATGATTTCTTGGATTCAGGCTCTTCTACTAAAATTTTGTATTTATTTCCTCCCTGGCCCATGCATGCAACACTGTATTTTCCTAGCGAGGAATTCGATAATTCGTGTTTTTATAACTGTCAATCGAACTGTATTCTTGACTTACGTTCTTGGGCTCCTCGTGGTCATCGTGGATATGAAGGGTCTGGTGGTGCTGGTGGAGGGACTTGTAGGCGAGAGGTTCGTGCTTTGTCTCTGGAATCACGACCTCTGTGTGCTTTCCCACAAAATTATTGCTTGTATAGTATGAGTGATCTCCAGTTTCTTCCGCTGCAGACTGATCTCCTTGGTGATGCTCAACGATTGGTTTCGGCGTCACCACAACTGTCTTCTCTTCATACTTGGACGGCGATGCTTGCTTCAGCAGCGCACCGTAAGGTTCCAGAGGCGTGGCGTGGTACACTGGGGATTTCGGCTGTTTAGCGGCTCTGATGGCTGCTAGGATCTGTTGCTGTTGTTTCTGTGGTAAGTTCTGATAATGTTCCTGCACTTGTTGGGTTATATACCCAGACGAACCTTCCTGTTCCGACGTAACTCCTCCGTTGACTAGTACTGACACTGGGAGGAAATTATTGTGATACTTTAAGTTGTTTATAGGTGTATACAGCAACGACGACTGGCGGCTAGTACGAGAAGTCTCCTTGACGTCCTGCGGTGGTATTGTTGGTATAAACTTAATGCCACTGGCATCTTTTTTAACTGCTGATACTTTCGTGGGCAGAGTAAAGCCAATTAGAATAAGTGAGAGTACCTGTAACATAAAAGATGATTAGTAGTGACATAAATATACTAATGTTTCGTTACAGCTATTCTAATTTTACGTTCCATTGGCAGCTAACCGGTTTCTCTCTCCAGGCTAGTTTCCAATTAGAGCTCTGTAACTGTTAATTTGATACAGGTCTTGTACATGTCTACACTTGTTTCTGTACAGTTCTGAGATATTTATCTCTGTTTTTGTTAAGAAGAGTTGTATATTCTGAGACATAAATTACCTGGTGTTCCGGAGGAACACGTCACCTCAATCTTCAGGCCGAAGAAGAAACCAAACAATAAACCGACGTCAAGGCATGTAGCAAATAGAGCTCTGCTTTCACGGTTGCTTCTTGTTTGGCTTTTCTTCAAACCTGAAGATGGTTGCTATATTTATCTCCGAAACGTCGGTTGATTTTCAGCGTAGTAGATGACTATATGTCCTAAAAGATAGAACTCGTTATAATCATCGCTGTGAGGACCTGAAATCCTACTAGCTTTTGTTGATTAGGTAAAATGGTAGTGAATTACAACACCAAATTTTGTCCCTCGTTAAAAACTTGGTGTCTTAGATTAAATTAATTAACGACGCCTCTTCAAATATATAGGTTATGTGAGTGTAAAATGCGGTGGTGATAACCGTCATTAAACTTGGATGTAAAATAATTGACTGTAAACTACTTTCAGGCATGCGCTGTCTTCGCTCGCTCGGAAGCCGGGATCGTGGGTTCGAATCCCACTCAGGACATGGATGTCTGTGTGCGTTTTTCTGTGTTTGTCTACAGGTAGAGGCCTTGCGACGAGCTGATCACTCGCCCAAGGAGTCCTACCGAATGTGTAAGATCAAGTAAACCCTAAGTGAAACGGAGAGTTTCATTGAGGTAGGCCTAGGCCCAAATTGGGGCTGTAGCGCCGCAGGAAAAAAAAAAAGAAAAAAACTACTTTCAAGTTGTATTTCAGCTTTTGCATTAATTAAGTAGAATTATGTGGTGTGTTTTAGTACACTCTGAAATCACAATTTGGTTGACGCTAGTGAAGAGAAATTATGAAGTAAAAATAATTCACAAATTAAGACGACAGTAAGTGGGGAGACACATTTAGAGCATGGAATAATGTAATATACTAAACTGTGCTTTAAATTATTAGCTACAAATGCTAAAATAACAAATAAGATATGCATTGAACAGAGGCGATTTTGATGGGGATACAATATGCCACATGCCCACGCTGGTTCCTCGTTCGCGGATTTCTTATACCCTGAAGATGGAGTCGATACGCTCCTCCGAAACGTAGGTTAACACAATACCTACATGGCACCACATTCCAAAAGACGGCATTCTTCGTCAGAGATGTTTGTTAATTAATAAACAAATGCAACAGGATGCTACAATATAACCTTCACGGACAGATGATTTCTGTAGTTAAAATATTCACCACTTGGGAGAGTAGGCTTAGATGGGACTGCAATAGTAAATTGGATCTTAAGGAAGTAAGATATGAGGACGCGGGGAATGTATTCAGCTGGCTCAGGATAGAGCCCAGTGGCGAGATTTTGTGAATAAGGTAATAAATCTTTGTGTTAAATAGAATAAGCGGATATTTTAATAAACTATCAGCATTTAAAGCAAATCTGCCCTTTGTGGTGTTTGTTAAAACCTGAAAGCATCTAACATGTCACATACCGACCCACTTGAGCACTGGCTCTCTCTGTTCTGCACTCCGAGGTTTCCTTCAGAATGACGCCTTTTCTCTAACTTAACACGCGGGAGTTAGAAGTACGAGTATAATAGAATTAGAGCTATTGAAGACAGAAGCCGTCTTTCTCCAGACAGAATCTAAGTAAGATTACATGAATCGACTGTCCGATTTCTTAGTTTGTGGAATTGAAACCAACCTCGAGGGAAGTGCAATGCATCTTGCTATGTCTCGCGATCATAACATGAATATTATAACTGAATTCAGTGGAGTAGATACAGCGACCGTGTTCCTCAAAAAAGGGAATAACTGACAGGCTTAAGTAGCGAGGGCAGATGGTTGGCCTATGTCACATTTGAAATAAAATATCATCATTTATCGGGATATTAACATATGTAATACAGAAAACCATCGAGAAATAATTCAATTCCGTTCAAATCTTATTTATTCACACGCTAACTTCGCAGCCCAAAGTCCAATTAAAAGTAATAGTAATAATAATAATTCAATTCAATTCATGCTTAATTACTTGCAAACTTAACAGCACAGAGGCCAATTAAAAGGTAAGCACGAGTATATAGAAATACATAAAAATAATTAAAAACAAAATACAAAATTTGAGAGTCTATATAATGACAATAAATTAATAATAATTCCAAGAAATATTAAAGTTAACGTTAACAGGAGAGAACAATAAAATAAGACCAATATACGTACATACACACGCGTAATATTAAGAGTATTAACAAATATTATTAACAATGTGATTAACAGAATCTGTTCAAATTGCAATAATAATAATAATAATAATAATAATTTAGATTGATACATCCGTTTCAGTGCCTGACGAATTTACTGCTTCAATACAAGAAAGACAGTAATCGGAAACGTTTCATCATAGCGCTAAAAATTTTTAAATAACAGGGTGAAACACAAACAAGGTCCTATTTAATACTAAACACCTATGGTTATGTGTGTTTTGCTGTCTACATTAGTTTGACTAATTTCTGAACAAACTACTCTTTGTATAATATAAAGTCAGTGAAGGAATCTGTAGGGGCCAAGAAGTGTATGATAAGTAGCATAGCAGACGATAATGTATTACGTAACCATAAAAATAACTTAGCGAAATTGGTTACAGCTATACGCATATATAGATGATGCCATGTTAGGGCATGTAACATCCTGTCGTTGGCAAAGAGAAGTTTAAAATCAAACTGATGCCAACTTAAAAGTTTAAAAGTAGAAATGCTTGAACTTTAATTTATTAAGTGACTTTCTCGTTAAGATTTCTTTTAGACTTCAGCAACAAACAAATCTTAAACCAATAAGTAGAAGAAGAATGGGTGTTTGTTAAATTGTTAATTGAAAAGTCTGCAAAGGAAATTCTGGAATAACAAAATAATATCAGAAAAGAAACAGGACTGCACATTTTGAAAATATTTATCTAAAAATGAAATTATATTTGTAAAACTGTTAACATCAAAAACTTTGTATCACGTAGAAGAATATAGTACGCGAACAAGTGACACAAAGAAAATCGTTAAGGAAGTTCACAGAGAGTGGTAGGATAACGAATATTTTCGAATATTAAAAATAAAGTACATGAGGGTCAACAATTAGCATGTAAAATTATGTAAGTAAGTAAGAGAAGAGAGCGACAAACCGAGACGCCACACCAGTAAGATCGAAGATTAATTTGAGCACTGAAAGCTGATAAACAAATTAATAAATTTAAAATCTTAGTATGTTCAATACTACTTATCTAATTTAGACAAAATATATTTCGTTCATAAAGTAGAAAGACTCTTAAGTATAGCACTATTATGAGAAGTATATTATTTTTTATTTTTATTATTCTTACTGGTGTGAGACAGAGCCTGTTTGGCACTGCTACCGTTATTGGCCTATGTACCGGCCCCAGATGAGAGATGATAGAGGAATGAAGATTGGCAGAGGAAACCGAAGTACTCGCAGAAATCCTGCCCCAGCACCACTTTGCCCACCACAAATCCCACATGACCAGACCCGGGATCGAACCTGGGTCGCCGCGGTGGGAAGCCAGCGACTAACCGTTTGAGCTATGGCGCGGCCATCCTAAGAAATAAGGAGTGCAAAAATACAAAACCGAAATTTATAAAATTATGGCTGTCGCAATGACCTTCAATTTACGGCAGCGAAACATGGATTGTAAATACAAGAGTCAGAATCCGGCATCGAGCGGCTGTAGGTGGGGGAGGTGGGATGGGGGAAACAAAACGGGACAGAACAAATATCGAAGAGATTATAAATTAGAAATGCAGTATATATACATATATATGATCTAAACTTAAAAATGTATGAATACATAACCTAATTGACAGACCACGTACGGATATGAGATAGAACGTGATACCTAAATATACCCTACAGTACAGATCGGTAGAATGAAGGGCGCTGGTAGACATCGCAACAGGTGGTCAGGTCAGTTAGAAGATGCAGCAGGCCAATAGGCTGATTAAATAGTACTAATAATAATAATAATAATAAAAATATTAAGTGGAATAATATAGTAGTAGTTGTCGTAGTAGTAGTAGTAGTAGTAGTAGTAGTAGTAGTAGTAGTAGTAGTAGTAGCAGTAGTTTGTGAGCACGTGTATCAGCTCTCGACCTGGGGAATGCGATTTCACTGAAACCAACTAGTTATATGCGTCACATATCATATCTCAATACGTATATTATTCGGCGTAAAGCATAATTATTAAAGTTTCAATGATTGTTAGAATTTCTCGCAGTAACAGCATTTAGACTTCTGTACATATAAGAAAATTGGTTTATAGTACTGTCATTCTTCAAAGTTTTGAGTATACATTTCTTAAATATAGTTTTTATGTACTTAACGAGAAATCAATTCATCAGTGTAAATATGGTTTTCAGACTCACCTGTATAATTATCATTTCTTCAGTTATACACAAACCACTGTTTCACACTGGCCTACTTAAGGCAGTCCATTCACTTTTGAAGAATCTTGATCGTGGAAATATTATTTCAGCCAATTATCTCCGACGTTTTCGCCCTATCAATATGTTTGCTTGTGTATTCCGTTTCAAGTATAAACTGTACACGGCACAGAGAAGTTCCAGATCACAGTACTACAGTATTACGATGACACGTGACTTGGCATCTGCGCGAGATGGACTCCACTGAAATATGAACGTGTTGCAGAAGAAATGCCCTGCCAGTGCGTTCCGCAAACAGTTTCAAGTGCATGTAGCATCGCTGTCAAGTATCGAATGCCTGTATAAACCGGTCACTTGACTTCGGAAGTCCGGTTTCACAAGTAGGTTTCCCTTTCTTCTCCTTCGCTGGAGGCTTTGTCCGTCCGCTAGATTGGAAGCTGTCCCTCTTCTTAACATTCAGGCTTGTTTTCTGGCTGCATATTAGCCGGCCACTCTATTATGAACATTTATTTATTAACCTAAGAAAATTACATAAGGAGGATCTTCATAACTTAAACTCTTTACCAAAATAAAATATAGTGATAAAATCTGGGAGGAAACGCGGGGTGGGACATGGAGTACATGTTGTGGAGTGAAGGAATGCGTACAAAATTTCCGTCTTACAACTTGAATAGAAGAGATCCCTAGGGCACCTAGACGTAAAGGGATGATAATGTTAAATGAATCATGAAGAAATCCCTTATGGAGGTGGGCGAGAATAACTCCACCATATCCCTGTGAATCACAGAAGGCGATGAAAAGGGAAACCAGTGCTTGGGTAAAAAGTGATCCCCCCTACCACTGGGGGACATAAATACAGAGATCTGGTTTTCCATCTTGGGCGTTGAACACAAGGTCAACAATCTTGTTCTGTAAAAATAATTGTTGTCGAGAAATCCGAAGAAGTCATAACCTGATGGTCTACAAATCAGGGCATTATATCCCATTTGCCAGACTTCTTCATAGTAATAGCTGTGAGAACCTCAAGTCCAACGTGACGCAAATTGTTTTCAAATTACAGTACTGCATATCAACTCATCATAACGAAGCTAAAGTTGTCTCTGTACTTAACTTACTAAGCACTACACCATGAAAGCGTATGGGGGAGTGGATGTATAGATCCATATTTTCTTGACCTCGGCACTAATTGGAGGTGAGTGGTGAGCTTTACACCCCTGTAAGTCATCACACTATGTATAAATAATACAACAATGACTTGCTTGAAACTACTTTCGTATGAGCATCTTCTCCAGTAGAGAGTCTCAGAAGTCTGGAATCACAGATAATACTGGAGTCATGAGGCAGCTCTTACTAATTATGCTCAGTATGTTGACCATTCACGCCAATGCAAATTAACGCGAACATTCGCAACTGACGCAGTGTCTGAAGGTTCCGGGTAGAGCCATCAGACAGTAAAATACTGTAATGAGTCCCGTGGAACTCGGAACAAAGAATCACTGTGCTGTCGAGGACCAGCAGAGATTTAGCAGTCAATCACAAGTGAGACAAAGAGAAGACTTGTGATGCCTATGACTCCACACTTAGGGGATTCATTGGTTGGGAAGTCATCACTTTCGTAATGACTGTATTTGGAGCGAAAACAAGAATTTCGCATGAAAGAATAGAAATTACTTTTTGTAAATTACTTCCTTGTAAATTAAAAATAAATTTATATAGAGAATAAAAACACAGTACAGTTCCTCATAAGGTGTCCTGGTTTCTGCTAGAATTCTCTCAAAATCATCAGGGTTTTAAACCTGGTCAGCCCATATAATATTTGTCCTATTTTCATTCTTTCAATTAACCACTATCTCCATCCAGCATTCAGAAATGCAAAGTGTGGGTGACTGACCAGGTTTCGCTATGCAAATCCAAGCCAAGCCGGAGTTTCAGCATTCCGAAAGCCTAGCCTTGGGAAAGCATTAAGAGAGATTTTAAAGCGTTTAACCAAAGAGACTGTATGCTATTAAGAGATAAAGTAGGATAAAGCATGGTTTAATGAAAGGAGTTCAAAATTAGTAGATGAGACACAGAATATTAAACTGCAGTAGCTTAAACATTTCAGCAAATTAATCGAGATAATCTTAACAATATGAATAGTGAAATTTATAGCCTAGAGCTTCCAGGGCAACAGAGCGGAATAATCTAAAAGGAGAAATTAATGAAGTAGCAACAAGTAACAACGAAAATAACAGAGAGTTGCCTACCGGTAGGGTCATAACGAATTTACGAAGCGTTGCTTGTAGCAGTTTACTCTGAAACTCTTCACGTTGTCATGACTCAGTAGATATAACCCTAAATCTCCAGCGTCACATAAGTTTCAAATCTCACGTTGAGAATGTAAATCTCCTCAGAGGTCTTTGGATCTGAAGTACTCATGGCTGTGATAAGGAGCTTCTGGGTTGTAAGGCCGTGTAGTTCGGAGAGAGCTAAGCTTTAGTTTGGTGCCTGCTTGTGGTGGTTCGTTGCTTGGCTTACTACTGGACCCTTTAAAGGTGGAGGCGATACGTTCATCGAACGTCGGTCCCTCATGAGCTGCACGGCTCTGCAACCCAGAAGAAGTACTCTTCTGCTTGGAGGTTCACACAGAGATTTTACAAATGGAAATATATTCCTGTCATGTACTGGACTTAAAAGTAATTGTGGGCTGATATGTATGCGGACTGAAATGCGTACAGATGAGCAGTTAGTATGCCTAACTGAATTTACTGTCTGACTGAGTGCTGAATGCGGATGGTAGTCACCTGGCAGGGTCGTGGGCTGACTTTACTCTCAGAAACCAGGTTGAAATTCATTTAAGTTGAAGTTACTATTGTAAATTCAGGCTGTATAGCGACAGGTTATGGGATAGACTGCCGAGGCTCGAGTCCTGGTGCGGGCAAAGGATTCTTCTCTACTCCAAATTGTTGAGACCGGCTCTGGAGCCCACACTGCCCCCTGTCCAATGAGTACCTATGACTTTTAACCGGGAGTAAAGCGGCCGTGGAGTGAAGCTGACCATTCATCTTCATCTAGTGCCGAGTTCAAGAAGAGTGGAGATACAACTCCACTTTCCCATGTCTTCATGCCGTGGTATGTATGTGACCGAGTATCAGTGCGCAAACCGTTAGAATGATTCCCTTAGAATTCGTTATGAGAGGTCCTACCCTAAACGTTGTTGGCTAATTACGAGTTTCAGCCACATTAATAAGTAAGGAAATTTGGGTGTACTTGGGACATAAATGAACATATCCCAAAGCATCTGATAGATTTTTCACAGATGGTGTCGAAATTTGTCATTGGAGACTTCTACAAAAAGTTTCGGCCATTCAGATTTCAGCTATACTGATCCATTATAAACCAAAATTTATATAAGATCGAAGTTCAATATGGAAGATTTTACCATAAATTACAAGAAATTTAAAATTTTAAGGCTCATTAATCCACACTATAGTCTAGTCTACGTAAGGTCATGAACCAATATTTCCATTTACCCCATAAACATTTCGGTATATTTTATTGAAACTAGACATGGAAATCTTATACTAATTTGCATTCCATTATTCCTATTTTAAGGAAGAAAAACAAGCTTAAAATACCCCCCTCGGTAATTCTGAGTACCACATATTGGAGTACATCATTTTCGGACTCGTTCTGTACAATTTCCGCCAGAAGCATTTTTCTCTCCGATAAATAATAACGAAATGCGCACATAAACGCATACAGATCTTCATGGACAGGGGTTGTTAACTTTGTCTGTTAAATAAGAAAACTAAATTTGCTAGACAGTTTTCCTTAAGTATCCAGTATCACATTTCACGAAAATATGTCCAGTGGTTATCGAGTTAGTTAATGCGTACAGATGGGCGGACATGCTGACGAAGGGAACTTGATAGGCGCTCTTCAGGCTTTACAATATCACCTAACGAGATAATGAAGCGACTACAATATTTATGTAAGATATGAGATATTCACGGCGGTGACTATAAAGAAAACCGTCTTCTGGGATGTGGCGCCGTGTAGAAATTGTGTTAACCGACGTTTCGGAGGAACGTATCGCCTCCATCGTCAGGGTAGAAAACAAAAAGAAATCCGCAAGCGAACCAGCTAGAGCAGGTGCAACCGTCCGCTGAAAGTCAACGGATGTTTCGGAGCAATATGAAGCCTCCTCTCTGCTCTGTCTACCAGCTTCTTCGCATTGAGCTCTTTCTAGTCTTAATTTTCGACCCTGGAAGTGGATACGATATGTTTCTTCGATACGTCGTTGACTTTCAACGGACTACAAGCCATCCCATGAGCTAGGACTCTTCATGATTAATAATTAAGTATGGGAGCATAACTTTATTTTCCTTGCATGCCTGCCCGTTAATGATGTGGTCCATAGTTCTGGGATCGCTCGAAAATAATTTTAGCGTAGAAGGATCCCGGAAATCCAGGTTAAAACTAATGAGGGACAAAAAGAAGTGATGTGATTATTTACGCTTGGCCGCGCCATAGCTCAAGAGGTTAGTCGCTGGCTTCCAACCGCGGCGGCTCGGGTTCGATCCCGGGTCTGGTCAAGTGGGATTTGTGGAGGACAAAGTGGCGCTGGGGCAGGTTTTCTCCGAGGACTTCGGTTTCCCCTGCCAATCTTCATTCCACCAAATTCTCCATCAGTATAATCACCCGGGGCAGGCTACAATAGGCCAGTCAGTGGCCACCGTGCCGAGTGGACCCAGTTGGACTCCAACTCCCACTAAGCGAATTAAAAAAATATTTACGCTATGAAATGCAGTGTAAATTCTTTCTGTTTTTGCTTTCAATCCTGCAATAGGCACTTTTCATAATTGACCTACTGCAAGAACTGGATTTCAGAAGTTGTGTCCTATTTACTTCAGAGAATCTTTAACGTCTTTCACATTTATGTATTTACATGTACTTGTGAGACGTTAATAATGTAACGCAGAAGAAAACTTCAACATAAGTAGTGTGCATAAAGTGCTTATTTGACATTAGAAATACCCGCTTTCCTGTGAACTGCGCATGCTTTGTTTTTGTGAGTAGTACATGAAATTAGAACTCACTGTCACCGTCATGTGAGATCTTTGTTATGATTTCACACACTGTCAATTTACGGCCAGGATATGT